GCCTGTTTTCATATAAACATTGCAGTTTATTGGCTTCAGCTCTTGTTCTCTTCTTCACTTTAAACAACACGACATTCAGAAGCTAAAACCTCCGCCTTTGGCTTTTATCTGTACTATGTTTAAAAAACTGGAGAACCTTATTAACAATGGGAGGATATTAAATGGAACAAAAGTCTGTAATTTATTTTTTTTCATTAAGAGTGTTGAAAAGTCTGGGGCAACATTTTGTTCTGCACATAAAACCTAGCTCTGTTATTGAAAATCCAGGTTTCAAGAGGAAACTAAAAAGCCTCTGTTTTTATTTCAGCTGCTTTATTTCATCTGTTCTTCTTGACAAACCCCACATTTCAGAAAACTTGGCATGCGGTCAACTTTCTTTCATGCTTTTTAAAATTTGAAATATTTCTCACAAGGTAAATTCCTATTCCACCTCCACCCCCTCCTTTCCCTGTCGATTCTTTGCTGAATGCTCAAGTCTTTTCTCTTGGATTTGAGGGCATTATGCTTCGCTAGATGTCAGAAGAAGACATCGGCCAAAGGTAACTTTAATTGGAGCTCACAGTTGCAATCTAGGTCTTTTTTCCCATGTGGGACCTGTTCTGCTCACAGTACCATATACAGTGGACTCAGCTACACAAATGCATACAGTATGTAACTCATTTCCCCTGACTCCAGGACCACACAGAAAGCTCGGCATGGAAGATAAAGGCCTACCTGTCACTGAGAACACTCTTAATCCTTTGAGACTGATGTAAGACCTAGACTTATAAAGCTCTAAAGAATGCCTTGAACATCTATTCAGGTTGCAAATGAGCTGAAATAATTCCCCTTTTCTTTTTTTTCCACTATTCACACCTGAATCCCATAAATGCAAAACAAAAAACTGAACTCAAAAGTGAGAGACAGACTCAGAGTGTCACAGATGAAAAAAAAAAAAAGTTTTCCTGTATTATGTTACTCTCACTTCGTCCTATTCCCGGTTCAGGTGTGAAACCCTGCTGAGACTTAGTACCTTTGCAGAGCACAAAGACTGAAATATTGGATATCCTCATAACCTTCAACTTTTAACAAATATGACTTACAGCTAAAGCATCGTAAAAGGTCCTGTATAAGATTATATTAGCTAGACCTTGTGAGCAGGAATTGCAAGTTTATATTCTTTTTGAACAGAAATGTAAAAGTCTATAAGCACAAATAAGCAGATGACCTAAAAATAACATAATTAGCGTTTTACCATTGACAATGGTTTGCTCAATTTAAAAATGGCTGGCAGTAAGCAAAGAATTAAACTCCCAACCTGTTAAGAAAGCATCACCTAGTACGAGGCACAAGATAAATTAGAAAAAGAATTAGATTTGTAGTTTGCGTTCCCTAAAATTTAAGTAAAGGGTGTACTGATCGAATATTTAAACAAAAATTCTTCTCTCGCCATATGGACAATTAATTTAACCATGGAAATACGATCAATTCCTGTGTTTTACTCTCAAGTGAGAGATGCTGCTTTTCTTTGGGAACTTGGACAACAGAGTCCTCAAAGCAAATACATCTTTCAAGCAAGTTGGCCTCCTCTTTTCTAAACCTCCCCAACTCTAACAACATTTTAGCCTGTCTGAAAGTTTGACATGAGTATGTAGACTCACTTGAGAATAGCTTTCGGAAGTCTGTACCATCTGAATCCTTTACACCTCCCTGTGTGATACACAATACTAAAACATTTTTAAACCACTGTAGCTTGTGTAAAACTTACATAGAAAGGACTTTTTTAAAAGTTAGAACATGGGAATATGTGTCTGGTTCTCTAGACAGACAGAACACATCCTGTAGGGAACAACGGGCAAAATATTTTGCACTTTAATCCAGATTAAATACTTTTCTGTCAAGTAATATTTGCTCAATGGGCACTCAAAGAATTGATGTGGCCATCATAGGAAGGATGTAAAATGCTGTGTGGAAAAACATCGTAAGTAAATGCTAAAATGATTATTTTGTCATTTCAAGTCAAGGTGTATTAAAATATATAAGACATCACTAAGGAATGAAGTAGGAGTAAAAAAATCTATAGCAAAATGACACCAACTACGCCTCAGTATTGATGAGCACTTCACAGCCAAGCAAACAGGTTTAGGCATTCCAGAGTCTTCATTTTCATTAGAGGTTTTATTGCCTTCTGCTTGTTAATGAGTGTTTCCATATGACTGGAACCCAACTCTGCATGGACAAGTCCAAAATGTGTCCTGTTTAAAGTTCTCTGATCTTTACGGTGTTTGCACACCAGAGTTAAAAGGAAAATCCAGAGCCTGCAGAGTTAAAGGCGGCTTCAGGGTGACATCTTGGATGTGCAGGCTTTCTGCTATCAAGCAGACCTGTATATTTGCAGTCTTAAACATTTTTCCAGTGGGTGTTTGTTGGTGGGTTCAAGAGGCCTATATTTTGGCGGCTCACAAAATAACTTTAGACTGAGGAAAGCGCAATAAAAAGGCAAACAAACTTTGCAAACACTCCAACTCTCCAATAATTACAGGCGCACTTAAAAGACACTGGTTGTGAACAACAGAGCCACTGTTTGTAGCACTTGCACAGAAACTGAGTTTTTTAGTCTTTCACATGCTGTTCCAGAACCCCAGAATCTATGTTTGAAATTGTGCATTGATATACACTCAGTTTGCACATATTTGTCTGCAAGCCAGGAGTCATCAGAAAATATATAGTCGACATTTTCAGTAAGCAGTAAATAAAACGTAACTCTCCGCATGCCTGCAGAACATCTATGTATTCTGTCCTTATAGCTCCATATACAGAGAAAAAGAAAGAGCATAAATCTACTGCCAGCTGTGCTAATCACAAATAAGTAATAAATATGACAGATTAAAAAAGTCACTAAGTACGAAGCAGTGTGGTCTTGATCTGAACCATGAGATTTTTTTAAAGCTGTAATTTAGTTTCTGGCTTAAAATTTGATGTGGGAGAGCTCTCTTTTCTCCCCCCGATCTGATTTTAGACTTTCAAGTGTTGACAATAAAGTTAAAATAGGCATTTAAGCATTCAGTTTAATAGTAACACATTTTGCTAAAGTAAAAAAAAAGAAGGCATATAATAGCCAAGTTTAAAACAAAGTATAGAGCACTTCTGGGGTTGGGTGGGCAGACCCACTGTTCCTCCAATCAGTGTCAACTTCGCTGTGAGTCTGACAGGGGGCCTATCAGAGGAGCATGTGCTGTAGGTTACTGTACAAATGGCAGCCAAAGGGCAAGTCCTATGAACGACTGTTCGTATTGTTATTGGTGATTCCCTTCTTTTTTGACCACTATGACTTCTCTGACAACATGAACAACTGAAGCTTGTCATGAGAGTTTATCTGCCAGCACCTGAAAAAATTAAAAAAACGAACTGTCAAAAAAACAAAGAAGAAGAAAAGCATTTAAAAACAAAACCAGAGATGAATGACTTAGTAAAGTAAGAATGATGTGCTGGAGCTACAGACTGATGGCTTGTCTCCAGGACCCTGTTACAGTGGTGGGTGCTTCGCCAGGTCAGAGATTGGTTTCAAACAAATTATTTATTTGAAGCAAAACTAATTCCTGGATCACTATGAGGAATGTTTCCCTATATAAACACTCCTTTGCCCTGCTCATTGCCCATCAAATCTTGAGTCATCAGACCATGGACATAAAACAATGAAGAAAAAGGTGATGACCAACCTTAATTCTCTTCGTCAAGATGCCAGGCTTAAGTCTGAACTGCCAAATAAAAATAGCAAATAAATAAAACCTGTAATGTTGTACAGAATGGACTTATTCTGCCATGTGAACTTACTTCCTACACTTTTCTCTAAAGGGTAGCAGTGATCTACTTGAATGTAGGAGCCTGACAGTCAATTGTAGGCCAGACAGCTGGCAAGAGTCTCTGAGTTTTGAAAAACTGAACTCTTGCAACAACTTTACACATATTTTTAAAAGCTTAGATTATGATAATGGGATTTATTCTGCACATATTTTCAGATGAACAGCACAAACCAACACATCTGTAGCTGTAAATATTTGAAAATCTCTGGAACTTCGGGCCAAAAAACTCTACACCAACACCTGTGCTTAATACGGTGAGATACTGACGAACTTCACTGGAACGTCTTTACTAGATTGACACTAAATAAAACACACACTGGATAAGTTCCCTATTGAATGCTTTTTGGATACTGGAAAGGACAGGCATTTAGGAAAAAGAGGCTCTAGAGGTTTGAGAACTGATATTAAAAATGGCAACATCAAAAGTGAGATCCTTAATTTTATAATTCTAAATCAATTCTAAATTCAATATCTTGAGCCATGCAAGGCATTTCACAGAAGCAAGAATATAATCATTCAGATGCTGATTTTCATTCTATGCTAAGTAAGGGTTTTTCAAAATTTCCAGCAACTTAGCAGAAACAGGAGCTTAGCAATACATATAGCCCACACCCAAAAGGTTATGTTAACAGGTCTGACTTTCATGGCTTCGCATCTTTAATTACCAAGTCTATTTAGCCTTTTCTTGTTGCCTGTGGAGATCTGTGCACTGTGTGAAAGCATTAAATTACTTATTCCTTTTTCAGTCTTCTGCTAATCTGAAGTATGAAGTCATTATCCAGCCAAATAACTGCTTGCCTTGCACTCAGAAATCACACATGGGTCTGGAGTAAAACCCCATCCCTGTTTAATTAGATTTATCTCTTTATTGCTTGAAGGAAATCTCGCCGATACTGTGAAGGTATTCGGAAGACCATTAAGCTGTCAAGAATTCTTGGACTGTCAAGACGTGAATGCCAAGTCAAAAACAAATGTTGAAAACATACGGACACAGCTGAGCGTTATATATGCACTCTCCCTGGCAAATAAAGTTAAAACAAAACACCTTCTTCAGACAGGTAGCAGTTCTGTTTAACTCATCGCAGAATCCAGCAGTTCCCAGAACTTGTTAAGATAAACACAGTTAAATGCTATTTCCTCAGCTATAAAGCAACTTACTTCATTTCCAGTATTTCCTCCAGCTGTTTTCTGCGATCCAGCCTCAGGTTGGTCAGATGTCCTTCTTTCTCGGCGAGGGACTGCTGCGTTGAGGACAGGCGCTGTTTTGTGGCATCCAGCTCCTGCCTGGTCTTTTCCAGGGCGTTCATCAGCTCCTCCAGCTACAATGTAGAACCAGAGTTAGTACTTTTATTTGAAAAGTTTTTTACTGTTTTTGTCAAAATCCTTTAGTACAATTGTCATAGAAGCAAAAAAGAGTATCATACTTCATCGAAATAAGGGCCAGACCACCCATGTCTCCAGACTGGAGCTTTAATGATTCCCATATTAAATTCAACAAGGTTTACCGATTGTAGGTTAATTCTTATTATATATGTGTTACATATTAGTAGGCCTAAAAGCAGCCCTTACTATAAAAACAACACTTACTACCTTATAACAGCAGCCATATCACCCTGCAACTCACAGCCAGCAGTTCTGAAGCCAAGCAGGTGTGAGCCTGATCAGTACCTGGATGGGAGACCTCCTGGGAAAAACTAAGGTTTGTGCTGGAAGAGGTGTTAGTGGGACCAGTAGGGGGCGCTCACCCTGCAGTCTGTGTGAGTCCTAATGCCCCAGTATAGTAATGGGGACACTATACTGTAAAATGGCACCATCCTTCCGATGGGAGGTCCTGACTGTGGTCATTAAAAATCCCAGAGTGTTTCTTGAAAAGAGCAGGGCTGTTACCCCAAATTTCCCAATTGCCTTTACCAATCACTGCCTCGTAATAATCCCCATCTATGAATTGGCTTCATCTCTCTGTTCTCCTCCCCACTGATAGCTGGTGTGTGGTGAGCCTACTGGTGCGCTATGACTGCTGTCACATCATCCAGGTGGAGGGGAGTCCCCATTACCTGTAAAGCACTTTGAGTGGAGTGTCCAGAAAAGGGCTATATACTGTACTGTAATTATTATTATTACTGCATACATGAGTTGCATTAAGTCATGAGACTGCTGACTTTATGTGGTTACTCCAGCACTAATCACTTGTAGATACGAGCTCATCACTCGGACTTCCTCTCGAAACCCCTGTGCATTTACCTCCTCAGAGCTTTAGCTACTTTAAAGCTTCCTCATCTCGCCTTTGCGCTACAGCAGGGTGTTCACTGGAGACCGTTCTGAACATGTGCTGACAGAAACAAACAATAACACAACTTCCCCTTAACTGAAGGCTCCCTGAGCTCCTACAAAAGCTGACAGGCGGGGAGAAGGTGCATGGACAGAAATAATTCACAAATACCAAAACTGCTCTTTATAACAATTCACACCCGAGGGCCTCTTGTAGTAAAATACGCCGACATAAAATATAACTTTAAGCTAGAGAGTGCCCAATAAAGATGCACTGGAGACTTGTTTTCAAAATAAAGATCGTAAACTACTTGGAAAGAGTTTATATACCTGTCTAAACGGGGCTGGAGTACAATGAAAATCTGCAATACGAAGCCGTGAATCCAAAGGAAACCGACCCTCAACAGCATACCACAGGGCACACTCAGAATTTATACGGGTTTGCCATGACAGTCTGCAGCAATTGTTGGTTTTTAGCATCATATAGCCTTCTAGAAAATACCCCTGCGTGCACTCTGGGAAAAAAGACAGGTAATAAGAACAAAACTGACCTCCTTTTACACATTCACCTCTGCAAACACCAGACAACATCAGGAATGGTCTATGAAGTGGAAGAGTTAGATGCATGAAATGTGATTTGTTAAACTGGTGAAACAACTGGGAAGTGGGGATATACTGTATTTAAATGCCATAAATTACTTGCCCTTGTCAGTATTTTTTATATGGCAAAAGTTGTATTGTTATGTACAGAGCTATGCATGAGATGTGTGATTATTATGTCTGAGAGCTGACCAAGTACTGTAATATTTAGAGGTTACCCCGTGCAACTAAATTATCATGTCAAATATGTGCTGCCAACTTCTCGCTTCCTTTTAAATTCAGCAGGGTGTGGAAAGGAGTAAGCTGGTACCATCCTGGCAACAGAAGGTAAACAAACCGAGAGCTGAACTTCTTGGAAAATGAGGAGAACCTTGTGGACAGCTGATAGCAACTGATGAATTGAATCGTTATTTGAAAACCAACAAATAAAAAGGAACATTTCAAACTGATACTGGACACCGAGCACCAGAAGCAAATGTATACACTCTACGCATGTCTGCTTTTCGAAAAAAATAACTTGTATGGATTTGGGGTATTTATTTAATGCTTCTGCATCATTTGTATGTATTGATCATTCATGACAGTCCACAAGTGAATGAGCAAATTGCATGAGCACTGAATCATTCCATTAGTGGGAGAGCTGTTTGGGCACGGGTGGTGTGGCGATTTAACTTTTTAACTGAAAATCAAGAAAGAAAAACAAAGAAAGGAACCAATATGCTCCGATGATCAAGAGACCTTTGCCTCTGTGTTATCAGAGCAGTATGCGGAGGCCCTGACTATGTTATTATCCTGTACTGTACACTGCTTAGGGAATTCACAGGCAATGGCAATTTCTGACCAGGTCTCGTGAGATGGGAATGAGACAGTGATGCTGAAGATGCCCAGCTCACCGGACATGAGCCCTGTTGAACATCTGTGCGATGAGATGAGACAAAGTGGCTGGCAGAGGTGCACACTACTGTATATGGGAAGGAATCCCACAAGAATTTACCAAGCCATGTCTCCTTAATAAAACACCACTGCACCTGCTATAAAAGACTGACTGACTGTCCGTCATGATAACTACGTGATTTTATTGTATTTTCCTTACTATTTTAAGTGATTTGTTTCTTTTGAAGCTCAGTACAGTATATTTAATTTGAAGAATCCAAGATCAGATTCTCAGACCGAAGCAAAGGCCACCATTTTCTACAAAAACATTTTTTTTAATCTACAGTATAACAATCAAGCTGTTGATTTCATGACAAACTCCCAACTGGTACCTCCGTTATTCCACTTCCAAAAGGAATTGAAAGGAAGAAGAGCTTTTCATTGTGCCAACCAGAAATGAAGTGAAGTACTGTATGACTGGCAACCATTCCTGTAACATTTGGTTTTGGGGAGTGAGGATGAGAGGGGTTGCTGGGAGATTTTAAATGAGCTTTCATCTTGCTGTTGACATACAAAACTTCCTAACCAGCAAAAAAAATAAAGAGAAGTTAATGTGCAAATATGTACTGTACATCTTGACAAAATGAAGGCAGTTAAATTAAACAGGGTTAGAGTTCAAATGAATGACAGTTTGTTAAAATGCCCCTGAGCATTCCTAATTCCAGACTGGATCTAGATCAACTCATGCTAACATAATACTGCTCCAGTTTATGGGAATGATGGTCACATGTTTTTTTTTCTTATTTTTCTTCATTTGAAGTACAAAGGATTTCTATGCAATGACACCTACCTGGCTCATTTCCAACAATCAATGATGTTGTTATTAACAATATTTCCTAAATGTTTGACATTTACATTGAGGCCAGAAATAATGCTACACAGAGTCGATCTCTCATTTGTCTCAAAAGAAGGCTGCTTTAATATTGTGAATGAAATTCTTTGTACAGCCTAGAATCATTAAACGTGATTAACATTTTTAGGTCATAAAGTACTTAACCCTAACAAAATAAAAATCCATCTTTAAGTGCTTCCTTTGTTAGGTTAATAAGATCCATAGATTAATACATACATGTATATATATATATGTTTATATTAATCCAGAGTCTGATTTAAATTATGCTTTTGAAAAGAAAAAGGAATTTCTTAAGTGCATTGTGTGTGTTCTTATCCCATCATTAGATAAATCCGGATTTAAGGGGTGCTGTTGAATTTTTCGACATTCCACTGAATGTTAGCTTAATAGCTGGCCTTAAATGCGTCTTACTTGCTTATGTTTGATATAAGAATATGTCCAATGGATCCAGCGATAATTTCAGTGATTCTCTAAAAAATGCCTAAAATGTTCTGCAACTGTTGCACATTTACAATTTGTTTTTACATCAAGGTCTGGGCAACGGTAATAGCTTTTCAAGCAGGAAATAAGTGGTAAATATGAAAAGCACCTTATAAAAATCACACTATATGCGAAGACACATGTTTGAAACCATGTGGTCAAGCTTGAAAAGAACAGACCTCTTTATATGAAGGGGATAAATCGTTCGCACATTTTCCAGCGAGATTTGGAGCAAACCGTTTTTTAAATTTGAGCGTGTTTCTCAGATGTCACATTTTTGGTTGCATTCCTTATGAACTTTGTAAACAAATCGCTCTCTGCTTTTAAAGGTTTACCTGAGAATGTGACAAGTTCATCTGATATGAGTGCAGACACAATATTTGAGAATGTCATCTGAAACAAATGTGAAAATACCAGTGTAAGGAATTATCTGTGGAATACAAGAATCTTTCTAAAAGAGTTCTCTCACACTGTACTTAACCTTTCACAATCTTTTCTCTATATCTGAAGAACAAAAAAAGTAAGTCACAAAGACAAATCTGTCTATCCCTGGTCACTTCATTTCATTAATGCAAATAATGGATTAACGCAAATATGGCAGTTAACATGCTCAAGGTGGACAATTCATTGTACAGTATACTTTTATTTATGTACTTGTTTTTTTTTCTTTCTTATCAGACATGTACAGTAATGTGTATCGTGTCATTGCCTTTTACCTGACTGTAAAGCAAATTTCCCATCTGTTAAAATAAAAGTAAAATACATTCAGAAAATAAATTGTTTTAACCTAAAGAACCTTGAATTTTTCTTGTAAGAATTAATTTGCATATCTATTACAAACATGTATGACATGTACTGTATAGTGCAGTGTGTCTACTGTATACAACTAACGTTGCTGGGAACTTAAGATAAATTTATACCCAGCAAGAACATAAATATAAAAAATAAATCCTAATCCAGGTGTGATTTCTGAAGGGAGCCTGAAGGGAGAAATCTACATCCCTTTCATAATGGAGTGTCAAAGTATCTGAGCCCAACCTGGGTGAAAATAAGTGTTGTACATGGAATGAGTACAGAAGGCCAAGCAACTTTTCACTCAGTATTAATGAAGTGAACTGTCAAGTAGACTCTCTGGTTAACATCATCGACACCGCAGTCTGAACACGGCCATGGTGTGTGAAAAGC